TACCTGCAAAACACCTAAAATTAATAAAAAGTTCATATATATATATATATATATATATATATATTTGATTATTTTTTTAATTATAAAATTAGTCGTTCTATGTGTAATCAAGAAAAAAAAAAATTGGAAACACAAAGAAAAATAAAAAATAATACACACAACCAATTTTTTTTTTTCTTAAAAAAACCTCTCATTCTAGGGGCCAACTGCGGCTGCCACACAAGCCAAGCACACAAGTTAATGATCGAATCCAAAGACAAAATGAGACTAGCAAGTTTAAAGTTCTCTAACCTGTAATCTCTGATCAAAACGCAAAAGACTGCAGATCTGGTGGGAGATTTGAGCCGTCAAAATATGCCCTTATACACTGGAGATAACGGAAGCCACGAATGCCCGAAGATTCACTGGAGGATGTCGTCATCGCTGGCTCCAACCATAGCCGAAAAATGGGAGCAACACAGATAAGACCGTTGCTATCCCATACCCAGCAGTAGGTATCCCATACCCAATAGTAGGGCAAAGAGAAAAGTTGTCGTCATCGGCCCAGCCATGGCCTGAAAAATGGGTCGCTCTCCGTCAGTCACCCGAGAAGGGGGTCTATTTTTTTGTTGCTTTCTGTCAAGAGAAAAAATAAAAAAAGAGAAAATTATTTCAACACGGGAAAAGGTTAAACATTATATTATTTACTAGATTATAAAAGAATAAGTCTCACTATAATTCTAAACAAAATATATAATATTTATTAGATTTGTTTTATTTTTTAAACCTTGTTAACAATTTATTAGTTATATTATAGTTAATTATATAGAAGAATACGGATTTGTTATGGAGTCAACCTTCTATATACAACAAGTAAACCATACCATATTAATAAAATTATTTAAGTAATCAAAGAATATGGTATGGCTTACTTGTTGTATATAGAAAGTTGGCTCCACTATAAAGCTAACTATTTGCTTCATAGCAAAACTGGAGAAGAATAATACTTATTTTTATTTACATCATACGGGTCGGGTTGTGTCAGATAGGGTTCAGTCGATGTCCTCCGTTAGATGAAATTGGGTTACCCGTTGGGTAAAACATGATCCGAACCTGAAGATTGATAAACGAGTAATTGGTCAAGTTTGAGTAGGTTAAAATGTATGCGGGTCGGGTTTGTCTTTGACAAAACCCACACTTGACCTGTTTATATCATTTGTCTTCTAATGTTAAATTGTTCGATATTGCATAATTTTTAATTGAATGTTTTGACTTATTTTTAAGTTTTAACCAATGGATTCATCTGTTACCAAATAAATTAATAAATAGTGAAATATCTTGCTTCTTACTCTATGGTCCACGTGAAATAATTTACACGGTGACAAATGTAGTCTTCATAGAGCTTGATAGGTTTGAACATAGTTTCACAATTTACATCAATAAAGTTGATTTAATTCGGGATCTGTTGTATCAAAGTATATGATATTAGCTTGAATATGGTTTGCTATGGAATCATTCGATGACCCGACTTATGGAACCATACACAATTATTCACAAATGGTGTATTCAAGAGAGTCCTACAATAAATAAAATTTGGACAGTGTCAATGCATCAAGTTATGTATGATTCCATAAATGAGTCATCTGCTGACTCTAGAGTATTTCTGAAGAACCTTATTGAGCTAGTTTGAAGGTTTTTTTGCAGCGGGTGTTGGTTCATCTGGCAAGAATAATGGTCACTTATCATTCATTGTGTAAAAAGTTCAATGCAAGTAATAATGAGATCTGCAGTCTTAATCTATCATCGTGGCTTTCCTATGCAATGTATGTATACCTAGGCCTAGCTATAGAATAACCTAGATGCTCTAACCTAGCCAGGATGAATCTACACCACAAATTTGAGGATAAGATGTAGTTATGGATTTTGTCTTCATGCATGGGCCACTATCTACTCCACCACCTTCATGGTACAATGTGGCTGGTTTGCTTTTGTCGTATGGTTGTTGTATATTGTACCCTTTTGTGACATGGCCGTTGCATTGTCGATAGTACGTGGTGGTTTCATGGTGAATAGTCCCTCTAAATTAATGTTTGGGTTTGAGACATACTCCTATTTTGGATCGAAGATGAGCAAAGATAGAGAGGTTTTGTGAAGATGCTAGTGATTTGCTCCAGTGAAGGAATGTGTTGCACATTAATGTCTTGAGAGTGTACACGTTCTCAAACAAAATGAAAATATATCCCAACATGCTTGGTTTCAGAGTGAAAACCCGGGTTTTACAAAGATGTAAGGCTCTTGGGTCGTCAACGAAAATGTGGTAGGTTTCTTGGCTATAAAACCAAGTTAATACAACCATGCTCTAAGCCAAATCACATCACAAGTTACACTTAATATCCTGCTGAATTCTACTTCAGTGCTATAATGGAAAACAATTATTTATTTTATGGCACTCTATATTATAAAGTTAGGTCCTAGGAATACACAATTGCCACTTGTTGACTTTCTATCTTCAATGTCAATCGCCCAATTAACATATGCAAAACTAACTAAATGAAGTGATCCTTTTTTGATTTGTAAGCCATAGTGGAGAGTTCCAGCCGAATATCTTAGGACCCAGTTCTAGGTCATCCAACGTGTGTAAAGTTGCCTGTATGTACTGACTTATCATGTTAACACTATAATAAATCTCAAGTCTGTTTATGGTTGTGTATTGTATTAGAATATAATACCACTTATGAGTTATCTCACAACGTTTATACAGGAAAAATAGGCCCAACTTATAAGCTTAGTTGGTTACTTCTCATTCTACCAAATGGTTTTAAAATGAACATCACTATGGTGCATCTAGGCTTACCCCATTATAGTGCGCTTCACGTGCATGGTCCCACACCCATTTCTCCCTGATTCTTTCATGGTATCAGAACCGGCCTACGTGGGTCCTAGTGATGACGTACCCGTTACCTGGACTACGTAGGCTTGGGCTTCGTATGAAGGACTCACAAGTAAGGAGGCGTATTAGAATATAATATCACTTTTGAGTTGTCCCACATCGTTTATACAAATAAATTATTCCCAACTTATAAGCCTATCGGACTACTCCTCCTTCCACCAATGGGTTTTACAATGAAACCTCACTAAGGTACATCATGGCTCACCCTTCTATGGTGCGCTTCATGTGCATGAGACCGTACTCGTATCCCCCGTTTCTTACATACTGCAGAGCCCCAACAGCACCCCCAGATAAGGTTAGATTTTCTATTGATTGCCCATTATGTTTAAGCAAATGGGGATGAGATTGTTGGAACCCATGAGGATCTCGATATGCACAAATCACGGACAAACATTCAACAAAAACCTATGCGCAGCGGATCTAAAGGTTTGATTAAGAAAACTTACTGCTTAAAAAATATGTAGATCTGGCTGGCCCGAACAGTTGACCGCAAATCAAATCTTCTCGGAATCGAACGAACTTGACCAATCCAGAAAGCTGACGTCACGGCGAAGTCAACGGCGTTGACAGATCAGAAATCGGAGGTCTCACGCGCTCTCATGCGCGTCTGCAAGCTCCAGCGACTGCTTCCTTCCGGCGGCGCGTGGCGGCGCGTGCGGCGGAGTCCGGCGGCGATCTCGACGGCGATCTCTTCGTCTCGTCGTCCTGGTCGTCGTGGTATGGTCACTTGATGGTTTTGGTCTCCGGTTTGGATGTATGATTGGAATCTCTATATACCTTAAGATCTTCTACTGTATTCTCAAACAGCTTTCTAGATCTTGTATCAGTGGAGCACAAGAAATAGAACTACTCCTTGGAAGAGAGAGAGAGAGATAGGGGGCGGACGATTCCCAAAAGATGTGGGATTTTCTCCACTCTTCCAAGAGCCTAATGCTGTATATATAGAGCTACAGTAAGGACCCTAAGGAGAATAGGATAAGGGCTTCTAATATATTAATACTGTGGAGTAACCCCACAATTAATATATTAATAATATTAAAGTCCACCACAATAATATTATTGCAC